CAGGGTTTTAATACCTACCCACGTACTCGCAACAAACAATTAAAGAAGATACTCTTTTTTACAGTGCAAACGCGCACACATGCACTTATAGAGATTTGGAGGGACGCAGATTAACGCCATACAAATCTTTGCCTTTGCAGTGTAGTCAACTGAAAAGAAGCAAGGGCTTTCATTTGTTGCACACACACACACACACACACACACACACACACACATATATAGAGAAACACTGAAAGAGAAGAAAGAAGTATATTGATAAAACTGCAAATCCTTCCTATTGTCACCAGGCCTCTGATGCATGCTGTTCACAGGACGGTTCAAGTTTACATTTATATACTCGCCATATGCTTTTATGCATAACTTAAAAGGTAAACTTTCTCAGTGCATAAGCATGTGCGTGTTCCCTATAAGATTTGAACCCGATGAGCTTAGAGTCGGTGCCGTGCATTTTTCAAAATAAAGATTCCAAAAAGGTGTTTTTGTGCAATTGAAAGGTTTATTTTCAAGAGTGCATCTTTCAGTGCATGCTTTACTGCAGGAAAAAGACAAGCATACATGCTTATTATCAGACTTGATTGCATTTCCTGCATACATTTTTTTTTCCGGGAATATCTTTAGGATTGTGTGTTAAATGTTGCAAGTGAGAGTATTGCACTCATTTTGAAAGCTGAAAGCATAATAAAATGAGCCAAAATGTGGAGACGCGTAAAACTTTGTGAATGACGGGCGTTGCAATTCAGCTAAAACTTCTGCGGGCGCAGTATCTGCGTGGGCCCACGCGTTGCATCTAAGCAAAGCTCGGACAAAAAGAGCTTCACAGCGGTTTTCTCTCCCTGTCGCTTTAACTCTATTAATTGTTGATACGTCGCAATCCACGAGGCAGAAATTAGAGGGCTAATTATTCGATCATGTGATGCTGCCCCACTGCAGTGACAGAAAAGTAATTTCCCGAGCCTTGAAACTGATCTCGCTTGATCGTTAGATGACAGATTTGTTTTATAATTCGATAAAAGCGGGGCATAAACAAGCGATGAGCCGATAAAGAGCCTCTCTCGCGCACTCGGAGGGAGTCATTGTTTTTAAATAATTAATACGGATTCCTGAGGGGGATTCAAAGAGCAGGATCTTTTTGTTGTCGTTCGCTTGTGTGCAGCCGGACTTCAGCTCTCGCAGGCTTTCACTGATTTAAAAGCCTCGCACACTTTATTTGGCAGGTGTTCAGATGCGAGCAAGCCACAGGGGGACTTTTACAGTGCACACTAGAGGTTCAACAACACAGTGTGCACTAGACAGAAATGACTATTCACTGTGTTGCATCGCTTTATGCCACTGCATGCATTAAATAATTAGCCTGCACATATAAAGTGATGGAGTTAGACTCCCCTCACGCACATAAGTCTATTACTGCAGGTTATTTTTATTATTTAATACACTTAGAAGTCATGAGAGTCGTGCACAGTCAACTGCAAACTACTGTATTAATGTGCTCGAGTAACACAGCTCCTCTATTCTGTCTAAAAATGTGCCAGCCACCAATATTTCGAGACTGTAATGAGTTCCACGTTTTCGTGTTTCCAGGAAACGTTTGTTTTGAATGCATCTAATGGAGATTTGTATACTGCCCATTTGCCTCCGCATTGATTCAGTGTCTCTGTTCGGTATGTGGTGGGCACTGATGACTCTACCCCATGCTGTTTGTGTTATCAAACTGCCGAGATGCTCTTGGCTCTGATTTATAACACTACCTCAAATAATCTTGTTAATGCACATTTAACATTGCGGAAGTGGCAAGCACATAGACTAAACAACACCTACGCGTGCGAGCAGTCAGAATAGCGCTGGTGAAATGTGCCGAGTGATAAACTGCCTCCAGTGCAGCTAAAAAGAGGAAGACCGTACTGTCTTGTTGTCATAGGGGTTTCTAACTTTGGATGTACACTTACACATATTGTGTCACTATTCCGGGGGAAACCGGATGATCTTGAAAAAAAGGCAATGCAACATTCTAGGATGCTGTAAAATAGAAAAAAGTGTTAAAATCCTCGTTGTTTTAAGTATTAGAAGTGTTGAAGAAATGAACTATTTTTTTTAATTCACTTTTGTATTTTAATTTTTTTTTTAGAATTATGAATTAATTCAAAAAAATTAAAATGTAGTCAAAATTCAAAAAATTGTATTAATGGTTTCTTTTTTGCAAGTTATTTGATTTAAATATGACCAAATTTTTAATGTCAATATAAATTGACATCAAATGATCAGATATTCTAGGATAAACAGTATGTTCATGGAAAAAAGCAAAATAAACAATACAAATGTAAATGAAATAAAAATAAAGGGTTACATTTGAGTTTTTGCTATACATTTTTTGTTTTTTACATTTTTTTGCAGTTTTATTTAAATTAATTTAAAAAAAAAAATCTAATGTAATCAAAATTAAAATTGGATTTTGTTAACTGCTTCTTTTTCTTTCCTCCTTTTTTTCCCAAAAAATAACTCTGTGATTTAAATATGACCAAATATTTCATCTGACATCAGTATAAACTGACATCAAATTAAGCTTGTCTCTCAAATTTGGATTCCCAAAAATTATTAGATAATATATTTTATTTATATTAGTATTGCTAAATAAAAGTGTCACCAATGTTTCACCAATAAAAGTGTCAGATGAGGCAGTACAGTACATATTTACAGTGTTGTTTCTGCATTGCTTTTGTTCTGCATTGTACGTTTGTGTATTTGTTTATTTTTTTAAAGCACTAGCATATTAGTATTCATTATTGTTTTCTCTGAGCGTGCTACAAATATTGGCATTTTCAACTCTTCAATTGTGTTTACCCTTCTTTAAATGGGCGAGAGCTGAATTATAACCACAGTTGATCGAATCATTTCTGCTCTGTGAATCTGCATGCCCTTCTGTATGTCAGAGTTGGTGTTGTTGGGCGGTGTGTGTGTGTGTGTGTGTGCCAGGGCTCTTGGCAGTGTCTGCACCTGTTGGCAGCATCAGGACCCTCCTGGCAAGGCCGGCAGAAATTGTGTGATGCTCTTGTACGAGTGCAGAGGAGACTGCAGCCACAGCACGTCAACATGGCGGCCACGCTCCGCTTACCACTGCTCCCGGCCCACGTTTCCATTTTACTGTGGAAATAAGAGTGGACCGATGCAACTACACAATCCGTTTGTGATTTTGAAAGCCAATGATGGATTTTAGGAGCAGAAATGCACCAGATAAAACTGTGCTATGTCATATTATTTACTATGATTGACAATTTGAAGGGTCAGATCTGATTGAAGTAGTTTTAGCTACATATTTGTACATTTTGCACTGAAATACTGAATGGGTCTTGTGTAAAAGAGACATTGTTTTTGATATAAAGTTGGCTATATTAGTTTTGGCCTAATCTAGAGCATCGCTGTAGCTGCTGCGCCACCTAATGTGTTGCACATGGACTAACATCTCAAGACAGCAAAAACAAGCTCAGTGCAAATTCACAACAACGCCGGAAACGTGTTTAGCGTTGTGCGAATGTCATATCACATATGCTGCATTCATATGTGACATTTAAAAAAACCCCGATCATTTACCCGTGTTGAATCGATGAACGTATTTCGCGACCCCTTATAATGCATCCACCTTTTTTGGTCATCGCTTTTTTTTCGTACATTTCCTGTTTTTAGCAGCAGTGATACTTAGTGTTCTAGTTCAGCACCTCTGCTGATTTCATATAGCTTTATCACCTTCAGTTTCATGTCTACACACGTTACACACTCCTGCTTTTAAAAACACATTTTACTGTCTTCACTATAATGAATTATTGGGCCCATTAGTCATTATAATTGTTGATTCTGACATGGGCATGTGCTTGGTTACCTTTAAAACTCATCTTCTTTTTTAGAATAAATAAACAATATATTTCACTCTCACTTGGCATTATAATAACATACAGTAGCAGAAACAAAGCATCCAGGTTCTTAGACTTTTGAGTATATATATATATGTGTGTGTGTGTGTGTGTATGTATTAATTTATTACTGCTATACTTATTATTTATATATCCAATATAATGTTTAAATCATAAACACAGTATGTTAGTAAATACAGATCTTTGAAAGTCATTTTAACCAGTCAGGATGTGGTGTTACTTCCAAACCATGAGTGATTACATTTGACCCTTGTACATATTTCTTCATGACTGTTGTCTGTATATGTCATTGTCTTTTTATTTATGATAATATACATTCCAGTGTAGATAACATATAATGCCTCTTTTATTGCAGTGGGCATCTTTTTAAAAATCAAATAAGCCTGGGAATGATTTCATTCCTGTGTTGATGTCAAAATAATTAAGAGTTTTAGTTTAATAATTCATTCATCAAATGCATCAAAAGTCTTTGTTTTATTGATACTATTTTATAAAATGCATGTTTTAACTTTTACTGCATTTTCTCATAAATAATCACTCTGTAAACATTTTTTAACTAGTGTGCATTAATATATTCTTCTACCATATTTGCATAAATTAGATCTCTCTATGTGTGTGTGTGTGTGTGTGTGTGTGTGTGTTCAGGGTTGCTCGTTTGCTGTCACCTGCACATATGTGTGTGTGTCATGCACCAGCATCACTGACAGATGGCGTGTCCTTTTGCTATAAGAAATATTGTACTCTTGAGGCTCTTTTGCAACTTAAAAAAAAAAGAATCGCGCCAAAACCCCAGCTATAATATCATCACACTCGATCATACGATCATTCGCGTTTGCTTGCTATATCCCCCGGTTGTGCTGATCAACTCATCACTAACATCTCAACACGCACCATCGGGATCCAAATGCACACGCTCACAAATAAAGATGGTTTATTTTGTGACAAAAAAAAATGCAAAATGATTTTATTGTGTTGCTCGGTGCATGTGCATCCTGTATGTGTGTGTGTGTGTGTGTGTGTGTGTGTGTGTGTGTACAGGATGTGTGTGTAGATTCAGTAATAAATGCAGAACCGCCTCACTCTAATCAAGCTGATTAAAAATTCCTGCGCGCGTGCAGGCGGAAATCCACCATCATCATCATCCTCGTTCTCCGGCACTTTTACTTTATTCTCGCGTCCATCCTCCTCCAGGACAGCGACAGACGCGTGAGGACCCGAAATCCGTCTTCAATCGCGTCGTTTAGGAGGTTTAGAGATGAGGAGAAGCGGCAGACAGCGCGGAGAGGGAGGGATGAGCCGATGCAACTCATAATTTAATGGGGACAGAGAGAGAGAGAGAGAGAGAGAGAGAGAGAGAGACAGAAACAGAAGGGAAACAGAAAGAAAAGGACCGAGCGCGAATGTTACAAATGTAACAAGCGGAAGATACAATGTAGCGCTGACGTGCGTCAGGAATGTTCGGATGCTTTGATGTTTCATTCGACGTTCGAAAGTGTATCGCGCACTTTTAAAGCTGCTTCGGATCCGCAGATCGGCTCGAGATGAGAGGGCTTCGTGCTGTTGTTTGGCCAGATGAGAGGCGATTCACGAGCGCTTCTGGTCCTATAGGCGCGTATTGGTGAAGCTCAATGGGATGTGTAGGGAACGCTGGCGGTTACTTTTATTTTTAAGCGTTATTCTGCGCACAGAACGGACGGTGGATGTGATCGTAAACTCTATTGAACTCGTTGCATTTCGGCTTGATTGCATGCGACTACGGTCTTTAGCTCTCATCACATTTTAAAGTACTTTGCGCTTCGTCTATATGGTTCTACGTGTATTATGCGCTGTGATTCATGGCTTAGCGTTTGACATTAGGTTTTGGCGTGGACGATCTGGAAGTTTTCTATGTTTCAGAATAGAATAGCTGACATAAAACTGATTTTCGAGTGAAGTTTGTGCTCCTCCTGCCAAAACTTGAAGTCGCTGTTCATCCACAGCTCCTTTATATGTTCTTCTTAAAGTGGTGAGTTCAGCCTTGTTATTTTTCTTATTTCTTTGTGTTTTATTGAATGATTTATTTTATTTGTAAATGTTATCTTTTATTTTTTAAATCTAAATAAAATAAAACATATATTTCTATATGCACACTAGACATTTTTAATCATTGATTTTTATGATATGCACCTAAAATGTAATGCAACCTGTACATTATCTAGTTATATATGTGTTATATGCCTGAATCAACCTGCTTTAGGTTACAGCAATGAATTTTAAGGGTCTGGAGAAGTAGAAATATATGTTTTTAAGATAACACTTACTCGTTTTTACTATTAGAGTGTTTCCATTCACATGGAAAGTGCACAAAGTTCATTTTTTTTATATCCTCTATACCTGTTTTATTGGTTTTTAAATGAAGTCACATAAGTTCATCTGGTGTTCAGTGCTGTGGAATTCATTGTTGCATGTCTGATGTCTTGTTTGGCCTGTTTGATGAAATCTAACCCCGTCTGTCATGGTGTCTGGTGCAATGTTCCTTTATCGCTGCGAATGCAATGTTGAGACAAGGTGCATATCCCTTTTCCGGTAATCTTAGATAATCCGAGGACTTTCTTTTGTTTTGGTGTTTTAGGGAAACTTGTTTTGGGTGTCATTAAATACAAACGGTTGCAACCAAAAATCTTCTCACTGTGTTTTTGTTTTACATGCGTGTCTCAACTTCAATCAGGAATTCAGGGTCTTTCAGTTTTATACATCTGGTGTTCAGTGCTGTGGAATTCATTGTTGCATGTCTGATGTCTTGTTTGGCCTGTTTGATGAAATCTAACCCCGTCTGTCATGGTGTCTGGTGCAATGTTCCTTTATCGCTGCGAATGCAATGTTGAGACAAGGTGCATGTCCCTTTTCCGGTAATCTTAGATAATCCGAGGACTTTCTTTTGTTTTGGCGTTTTAGGGAAACTTGTTTTGGGTGTCATTAAATACAAACGGTTGCAACCAAAAATCTTCTCACTGACATGCGTGTCTCAACTTCAATCAGGAATTCAGGGTCTTTCAGTTTTATACCAATAGATCTGATCCGCTAAATATTTCACAGCCTGTCTCCCTTGTAAGGAAAGGTTCATTGCACGGTGCGCTGATCACTGAAGTGGACTCCTCTGCACATTAATGCGACTTTACAAAAACTAGCTTGTTTGCTCTCCACATGGGATTCTGCAGTGGGTTAGACATACATAATACATGCACTTAGGAATGGGAATGTGATCATTGCATGAAACATTGTAAATGCCATGTAACATTTGGCTTGATTTGACATTTCAGTCTACATGGAAGAGACAGTTTATGTTGCATTTTCATTGTTTTTTAGGTTCAGTAATCTTTATAATTGGGGGAAAAAGTTTATGATGTTTATTTTATGGTGCTTGATCATCCAGCCGTCATGACGCCGCCGCTTTTCTTCTTATTTTTCCCTCCAGGTGACAGTGCACATTGGTGCTGAGAACCATGGAGCATCTCAGCGAAACATGCCAGGGGAAGGAGAACTGTGAGATGGTCAACAACCTGAATGACACCAAGGCCCCTCCGGCCAAAATGGCCCGCCTGGAACAGAACGGAAGCCCGCTGGGCATGTCTCGTCTAGGTAGCACTGGAGCGAAACTCTCCGGAGTGCACTTCAAACCCCCTGGACATCATCTGAAGGCCTGCCACAAGAGGGGTGAGTTTGCTCTTTCTTACCACTGCACTCTTAAAAATAAAGGTTCCAAAAGGGGGTTTTCACTGTGGTGCAATAGAAAAAACATTATTTGTTCCCCAGAGAACCTTTCAATGAACAGTTTTTAATAGAACCATTTTTTTTAAAGTGTGAAAAACATTTTAAATATCTGAATACCTTTTTTCACTATAAAGAACTTTTTGTGCATTTGAAAGTTTCAATGGATGCTAAAGGTTCTTCATGGAACCGTCCATGCCAGTAAAGAACCCCTTAAAATGCCACCATTCCACAAAAGGTCTTTTATAGTGGAAAAAGGTTCACGTTTCTTTGGGGAACCAAAAATGATTTATTGCATC